TTGGCGTCCGAGGATCGGACCTTTCGGCCTAGCTGCCCCGCGCACCTCAAACTTTTACGTCTGGAAAAATGACCAGTTAAAATACTAGGTAAATCCGTAGCTTGGATCTAAGTCAAAAGTTATCACTCTCGAGCTGTCTCGAGTCAGTGTTTTGTTTTTACTCGTTCTTTACCGGCCATTGACCCTCAACTTCGTTACGGGGCCACTCACGATCGTTTATCTTGCTTAATATAATAGTTCCATAGCACTAATGCTTAATGGTAGCATTCACGATCAAATTCCTCAGTTAAAACAAATTTCTTAGTTAATAAAAGCTACGTCTTAGCAAAAAAGTTTTCTGTCGGGACAGAAAACCTAAATTCTTAGTTTAAAAAAAAAACCTTCATTTTTAGCCGAATCGGTGGCTCGAAGTTCGAATTAGCCAGGCAGAACGGCGTGAATGGTAAACAAATATGGCGAGAGTCGAGAATATTTATTTGTAGCAAGTAAACACGCGGAAACGATCATTAGTGCTCCTCGCCCAAAAACGGCCTTGGCTCAAATTAAAAACAATTTTTTTAAGTAGGTTATCAGAAAACGATAGTGAAAGGCCCGTAATGAAAAGAACGACATTCATGACAGTGACACTATTCTAGGATTTGCATTCTAAGAAAAATTTCGGAACTACTGCCGGGATATGACCCAAAGACATGCGGAACACAAGTTTATCTCACTCGATCTCACTACCGCAAGCGACCCAAGTGATGTTCCTGATCCCCTCATATAATTTCAACAATTAACAATATCCGCGTGAAATACAATTGTGTTGAGAACTCTTAACAGAAATATTGAAGGTTATAACTCTCTTAGGGGAAAAATTTGTAGAAGGAGTATTAAGTTTTTTACACAAACCTTTTTTTGTGTGTGCCACGTGGAAAGATGCACGTTATTCGTCTGACCCACTAAACATCTTGCGTATGTCAAAATTGATAATATCAGGATACACTGAGGCACATCTTTTCACTTCATTCCACCACATTCTAATATGGCGACGGCGACGGCGTCACTACGTGACGTGGCGTGGCAGAGCAGACCCCTACCCTGGGTGCGTTCGGGTATGGAAAGAACAGGGCGGCGGAGCGAACGAGCGTTGTGCACAGTACAGATAAGCGCAAAAAGGCTATTGCATGTACAAATTACTTCAAAAGTCGGGCCGAAAATCTGCTGCATACCCACAGCCATCCTTAAGTAATATGGAAACATAGCAGCCTCATTTTGGACATATAGTGCGAAAATTTCGACCGTTACGCGACCGCCGAGCGCCCGCCCAGCACCCGCCGAGCTGCCGAAGCCCAGCTCGGCTCGGCTCGGGAGCGGCCGACCGCCGCCCAGACAGTCCCGAGCAGCGCCGAAGCGGCTTCGTGCCAGCGACTGTCAGACTGGAGCGCAATACTGCACCAGCACCATTAGGAGAGATCAGAGACGCAGAGACGTACAATTGGCTCATGGGACCGCACTTTCGACCAAATGTCGAAATCCTGAAAAGACTACACGACGCTTGCACGAAATGACGTGAAAATGCGACTTACTTTTTTATTTTTACACGGGAGAGCAGCTGACGGCAGCTGACCAGCTAATCAGCGCTTGCACATAAGAATGCAATTTTCTAGGTAAATACCTGGTTAACAAGCAGGCCCGCCCTACCGCCAAATGGAGTTGCCAGCTCCGCTTCGCTGCGCCGGCAACTCCGTTCGGCAGGGGCCGGGCCTGCTTGGCCTGCCGGCGAGTACTCATGTCAAGCAGACTAACTCCACTTCTCACTTGGCAGTAGTTACTGCAAGTCCTGGCAAACCATCACATTTTTTTGTGAAGCCTCTGT